CCCCAAAACCCCAAAACCCCAAAACCCCATGAGACGATAAAAAACAGATAGTAGCAAACAATGGGATAAATTTGAATAAATAATGGCAAGAAAATGAGTAAGTATTTGAGGTTATATGTTAATTAAATGTACAATAAACAAATAAAGAGCCTGCTAAGCTGACTTGAACTAACCCCTTAAAATATTGGTGAGGTGAGTGAGGGCGCATTCCTTGCAATGATTAACTAAAATATTGCTGTCAGAAGAGTTACTAGAAGTTGCCCTCTTTTCTAGATGAGTTATTTCAATTATTCAAAAGGAGATTATTTCAGCCAACCTAGCAGGGTGTCATATATAAAGTGAGTCTCACTCAGTTTGATAAGCTCTTCATTAGACCATTTGATTATTCATCATCATAACATGTTGTTAATAGTATGGGTGAGAAGTTGGTGGCATTCCGGTGGTAGGGTCTGTTCCCAGTGGTCTTCTGAAGAGTAAGATGAATGGCTCGGGTTTGTGAATCTCATAATGTACCCAGCCGCGACTTTATTGCACTCCTAGAGATCTCCATTCGTGTTCAGTGAGTAGTCTGCCTCTTGGAGCCTTCTTGTAGATGTGCTTTGGCAAAAGGACATGTCTGTACTCGAACAGATCGTCTTAGTATTTTTCTGAGTATTCAATCTCGTCGGGGAAATGTGGCATTCTTCAAATATTTGAATGTTTTTTTGAATTTAAATTATTTGTTTTAAGCTCAAATCATCCTATAATCTAATCAAAAGATAGTAATAAATTTAAGATTAAGTCATTCTATTATATTTATGTCGAACACTCAGTAAAGAGAAGACTTCCTCTCTTTCTCCTCGTAAAGGTCCTTCAACTCTGACTCTCGGTATCACAGCTCAATGACATACATCTAAACGTAAAAACAGCCCATCAGTGTGCTGGAAGTGAATGTAGATTTATTCCAGCCTTGTGAAATAATAAAATAAAACCCTTTGACTGTCTTTAATCATAAAAATAACAGCATTGACTGTTAGGCTACATTGAGAATAAAAAAGGAAAAGAGATAGAAGAGACTCAAGTATAAGAAGGAACTCAGCAAAAGAACTGAGATGATGGAGGGTAATGAGGAGGAAAACTAGTCTATAAGTGACGAGATCGACATTGATATCAAGCAAATACTCTAAAACCCACAAATAATAAGTGTAGTCAAAGTTAATCAACCATTGTCCCAAAATCATATTAAAGGAAAAAAGATTAAGGATTTAAATGCTAAATAAAAAATACCTCTACAAAAGCAAAGATAAGCTTTCAATAATAGCATACTAGAGATAGAGGAATCCCCAGAGCCACTTAGAATTTAAGATTTATAGACGCCAGATCAATAGTACCACAGGCCATCTAGTGATAACAACAAACGAGGAAATAAAAAAATTCAAGCCTACACCAATGGTTCAAATTCTAATCTAAACAACAACAATAACCAATCAAAGTCATAGATAACTCTGATGTCTATTAGTGAGCTAAGTCAGTTAGATTAGGATGTTAAGAAGAATTTATTTGATTCTAGAAATTAAAACAGCTCTTAATACTTCGATCAAACTGACTAGGAATAGTATTAGATGCAAAATGAAATGATTGGTAAAAACTAGCAAGAGCTATAAATGATTTAGAATTTAAAGGATTTGTAAATGAGGAAGAAGAGATAAAATTAAGCACAGCATGATAATTCTAATAATCTAATTGTTTCTGATTCTTAAACAATCCAAGATTAATATAGAGATGAGGGTAGTTTCTATGCTAAAAAGAGAGCTCATGATCTTGAAATCATAGAGGAGCAAGTCACCTTATCAAGCAAAGAGAATTCATTCAGATTGACAAAATAATTAAAAAGCACTCCACCTAAGAAAAACACTATGCAAAACTTTAACAACTAAAGCAAGCAGAAAATTCTAACAAGCGCAAAGCTTCGTAGTTCTTAGAAGGAGTAGCAAGATCTCAGTAACTTTTCAACTTAGAGTAATGCACCAAAGAGTGTAAGTTAGACTGTAAGCAATTTTATGATGAGAAGAAGCAACAGTCAAAGTCAATTTAAATCAGGAAAGAAAAAAAGTTAGACATAAAATTAGCAGGCTGCAAAAAATATAGGAGGGTTAATTAACTACAACAACTCATCATTGAAGAATAGTTTGATGATCGATGCAAATAACTCACTCTATAAACTGGACCAATCCTATATAAATAATTCTTCTATCCTAGGGTAGAGCTACTTACCAGACTCTGCAAACACCTCAACTTACTTAAAGCAGAGTGCCAGCTAGCCTAGATTCAACATTTAAAGCTCAAATATCTTGAATATGAGCCAAGATAATTAATCATAGTAATAGGTCTCTCCTTTTTTACTTAATGATTAGATTCAACTAAATGATCAGAGACTCATTCAAATTGCAATGAGTTAAAAAGGTAAAAGACCTTTTTCATCCAAGAAAAAGGGTTAATAAATATCAAATCCAAACAAGCCCCCCATGAATAAGCAGAATATCGAAGTGAGCCCCTATAATTCCTAATATCATGTTAAAATACTTCATGATTACTTTGACATTGATTGCTAGCAAGTAGGTTTGAGCAAAGAGGGTATGCCCATGATGAAAATTAGAAAGATTAATAGACAAACATCTTAGAGCAAGCTTTCTCAGAATGATAGCATGAATACGTAAGCCTAACTACTCACTCATAATAGTTCTCAAACTAGTCTTAAAAAGAGCATGTCTCGGGAGCTTAGTTAATCAAATCTAAGCAATCAAAATCAATATTAGATGCTTAACAGCATGGGTAGTTTGAATCAAAATAACTATGATCATTTTTCTAGCTAGTAGCATTTGCCACACTAGTAGATGCAATAATAGCAGCAGCAGTTTGTTTCTGATAATCAAATTTTTGGCTCTATTCAAACTTAGAAATAAATACCCAATCAAGGTAAAGTCCAGAAGCAGCAAAAGTAAAGCAATTAAAGCTTTTAGAGATTTAAAAATGAAATTGAAAAGAGATATCTGTCTAAGAAGGTAAACTATCAAACTGCTAAGAATATTATCAACACGAATCATAATTCATACGTCTGCTTTGGAGTGAATATAATATAAAAAAGTGACTAGGATTGATGTACACTATTTATAATTCTTACGATAAATGGCATATTTTTAGTCAAGGGGTTTTGGGGTTTTGGGGTTTTGGGG